TATTTATGAGAGAGTAAAAATTAACAAATACAAATATTAGATTTTAATTGTCGTCATATTAATTTATTCTAAAATAAACATATTTTTCATCAAGCTTTTCAAGGGGCTAAACAGGCACTATAGAGTATTTCAATATTTTTGATTGCTTATTCTGCGATGTCGTGGAGGATCACAACGAGAGAGAACTCACAGAGAAAAATGGGTATCTCTGATTAGAAAACGCGGATGTGGTTTGACGACAATACCGTCTGGCTGTTAACATCTCGCTCACCCTCTTGAAAACACCCTTCTGGGTACTTTCCTTTATAATGCAGCATGCAGCCATCTTCTACAACCACCCTCTATAGCCACCCTCCACAGCCACCCCTTGTCTTCGAACCCTCCCCGCACGTAGACATTGAAGCATGCGATGCGAGACGCTGAGAAAGCGGACGCCGGACGAAGCAGGATGGTTATCGGGGATGAGTTTGCGCCACCGTCACACAGTTTATTACGAGCTCGTCTTTATGATATTCCAATCTTCAAAAATGCATTAAGCGCACATAAAGAGATCCGGAACAGCCTGCTGGAGTGTGCTATCTGCGTCTTTGTCGTTGTTGTTGTCGTTGTTGACGTTGGCGTCCTGCTGCCGGATGGCCCATCAAACTTTAAAGCGACGGATATCTTTTTTCCTGTAAGAAAAATCGAAGACTTGCTTCCGGTGCTCTGGTTGAAGAAGCAAAGAGTTGCGTCCCTGCGGATTCGGATGAGTGAATTTTTGATGACAGAATAGTATAGAAACATAAGAAAATATTAGGACTTTAAGAGTGAGATCGATGAAGAAAATTTCTGATTTCAATCGTAAGTTACGTTTTTATAGAAACATTATTTCTATTATTATATCTCGTAATCTGGATTCATTTGCAATGACGGCGGTTAAGAATAGAATAGAAGTATAAATTTTGTTGAGGCCGTTTTCACGGCCTTTGGGATATAAGATAACAAGCGAGAGTATGAGAATAATACTATATGCGGAGATATATAAATAAAATGATTGGCAATAGATAAAATTTATAACATTACTGGGTGTAAATGCAGGCGATTAGACTGATAATTATTTGCTTCGGTAATGTAATTAATAGGTATATGCCAACAGCATTAATGCTGTTAATAAGTACGTAGGATTCCGTTGATTGAACGTTATAGAATGTAACTAGGCATGGTTGCGCATATTACTTTGTGTCACGTGACGACATTATGATATTATAAGCGGCACGGTTATTAACGCCGCATGAAATCAAATGAACAGTAATAAACTATGCGTCAACGTGCATTATCGTTCGCATCAGCTTTTCATACGATCTTGTATCTCATAAACTTTGTAAAAACTTTATGTATCAATTAATTGAAAAATGGGGATAGTCGATGTAGCATATATAAAGCGCAAAAATTTCTCTCCTGAAGTTTTGGGACGCATTTAGAAATTACAACTTTAAGAGATTATATTGAAAAGTTTATTGCGATTTGTACATGTGGAAAATTGAAAACGAATCAACGAATTGCAATATGGATGATAAAATACGGAAATATCTCTATCGAGAGATATCGCTTCCATCTTCGTTCATTTCCATCTCATTCATTGCGTTAAGGACTTGACAAGCAAATTGGAAAATTCGTGAAATCATACGAAGCGTAGAAAACAAGAAATGAAAGTGAAATCCGGCCGATCGAGTGTCCGGAAAATTACGTTCAAGGGAAATCGCATCTTATAGGAGGCAAAACGCGAGGGCCGATAAAGTGGGAGGTAAAGGAAAGCGTGGGAGGAAAGGAATGGAAAGCGTGGTAACGAAATGACGCGAGCGCATTTCGATTTCCTTTGAGCCATCGTCGTGCGGAACTGTGCGGGGCATCTCGTCTCTTTCTCTGTCTCTGCTTCCCGTTCCTTTCGCTGCCTTTGTCGTTTCGACGTTTTATTACCCAAACGCCACCCTCGTCCTTCCGCTCTTTAGAGCAAATCAGGCCCTCGCAGATTTTTCGCGGATCTTGGCAATCTTGTTCGCCGACGAGGAGCAGTTCGTCTTGCGGAAAGATCCCTTCCGGCGTGAAACCCTACAAGCGTGCGGGCGAAAATACGTTCGTATAACATTAAAATTTTTTGGAAAGACTCGCACACAGAAGATTTAAACATTTGAAAATTGCATACATTGAAGAAACTGACAACTGTATAAAATACGAATATGAATATAAAAATAAAATATAAAGAATGCATGTGCGTATATGCGTATATTTTTAGTCATATTGTCTTTTTCTATTTTTTTGCCATTATTATTATTGTATTATTATTTGTTATTATTATTTATTTTACTAGAATATTTTTAAGAAAATGGTAAACAATAAAAATTTCTTTTTAATTTGCAATTTTAATTTGTATGTATTTTGTTTTTAAGCGAAAAAATTGTTACATTTTACTACGGTTATAATTGCAGCTTTCTCTTTGTAAAATCTACATCTTCTCTTTGCACTTCTAACGAGCACGAAGGTCCTTCGCAACGTTGTTTGACGCAAATCAAGCGATTTTCCACAGATTTTGCACGAGAGTGTGCATTCTGGCGAGAAGGCACGCTCCGTATGCGAAAAACCCACTAAGAGATTCTTGATTTCTTTTTCGTCACAGTAATCGAAAAAGTATGTAAAGGCACGTTTTGCGATTGACAAATGTATTGTGTTAATTTTACCAATACTGAATTATTCGCCAAAGAAATATATCTGAATTTTCAGAATGTGAAAACATTCGCATTAACGATTCGATGAAAATTTAAGAAATATAAAAACGGAATATTATTTTCAGGAAAATGCTCGTATTTTGCTCTCTCTAAATCATGTCACGTATGATTTTTAGATAAGAAGAAAATTGGATGGTACACTTGAATTTTTCTATATTGTGAAACAACCTAAAAATATGGAACTTTATATTGTATATTTAGGTGATGTTCTTTACATGCAGCGCAAGATAACAGATAAGATTACAGTGGATGGTTTTTGGCAAAGAATTCGCTCGGCCAGAGAGCACAATTTCACGGCATCGTGTTGCCTGAAAAGTGAAAAGCTGGTTATCACTTGGACAAGAGAATGGCTTCATAGTCTACTTAAAACTATTTTCTAGATTTACGATTTTTTGTTTGTATTGTTTAAATAAATGTATTTAATTTGTACACGATCGATACCTAATTAACGTATTTTGATAGTTACTACATTTTAGTAAAAACCTTGTTTGCTATAACTTTTTTCAATTTTCTTTTATCTAATAGCAACAGATATTTTTTTAAATACTGTAATGCAAGATCATATGATTTCATTTGTAATCGAATTTTTAATTTTGTGTCAGTGAACTTAAAAGATAATATTGTAAAATTTAGTTTAATCATATTTTGTTTTAGGTACATCGTTCTAATTGATTCTAATAACTAGCATGTAAAAGATTGAGTTGAGATTGAGATATAGTTAGTCGTGTCAACAACATGATTTAATATCTCTTGAAACGTTGTAACTTGTGTTACGCCAATTTCCTGTTTTTCGCTACAGGATTAAACGGAGTACGGTATACTTGATCGATTAAATTCCCTTTACAATAAAATAAATGAGAGAAAGCATTAATCACGTGATCCTATCATTTCGACATCACGCTACGTTTCCCAATGTTTCTGTCCCCTTTCGCAAGAGCGGTGTTCGTCTCGTTTGCCTCTTTTTAGGCAGAAAAGGCCGGGTAGACGGGAGTGACATAAAGGGGCTTTTAACTCGAGCGTAATTTCCTTTTGATCGGAAATTCAATATTTTCTTACGGCTGCCGCGCCTTTCCGCACACGTAGCGCGAGTTTGCTGCTTCCGGAACTTTCCGCGCCGTTTCTCGATAGAAGGCGATTAGAATGCGTACACGGAATCGGAAAAAAGAGCACGTCGAAATTGTTTCCGTACGAAATGCCGATGAGTTTGACGCGAATCTAAGCTTGCCAGGCGAAAAAAATTATTGCAATTTCGCTTTGTAAAAGCGTTTATTAAACTTTTATTTTCTATTTTCAGAAAATGTGAATAAAATTTATATAAAAATTACTACATATATAAAGTGGATAATTATTTACCTAATGATAAAATATTCTGAAAATGTAAGAACTACTTTAAAAAATTCTGAATACTGAAAGTCTTGTTTTTGGTACAGTTTACAAGAGCCGAGAACAGATTTGTAATTTCAGTACTGTTGTTATCAGTGTTGAGAAACAAGCCTACTATTAGCATAATAAATCTAGAAACTAGCCAAACAGGAAATTGCAAAGTTTTCCAGACTTGTAGACGAATTATATGGGATGTCGAGAAGCGAGACAATCTCCAGAACCGGCGATACTCCGATTATAAACTTATTCCAGGCCTTCGTGACCGATCTCGCGCGATTTATGTCAGACGTATTAAAGTTTTCGTGTTAACGAAAAGAGAGGAAGGTTTATAAGCTACCAGGAGCAATGCCAGGCAAGTTCAATTCTAGTGCCGTCGCCTGTCCCGCTTCTGTCACGTATATCTCGCAAAACCCTAACTTTCACGAAAAAGGTGGTTATTTTGATAGCTCTTGATGTAATAAGATTGTTAAATAGATTTTCAAGAATGGAATTGTAGAGAAGATTGAATTACTTTCGTTCATGCTCTTTTCTAGAATAAGATTTAATAATAAGATATTATAATATTACAATTATACATTTCAATATAAAGATATTGTTTTCTTAAGATTTTACAATTGAGAACTTTTCTAATAAAAAAAAAAAATAGTATGATATAAAAGTGCACTAGAAAATTTTGATCGTTATTGCGGTAATCGTGGACTAAAGTTATCTGAAAAATTTTTCAGAAATGGACGTATATTGTGTTCGAAGTTTCATCTTACATCTATGAAAACTTTAAAACGACAGTTGCGTGTAACAATTTCTGTTATTTCGTAGACTATCACATTATCTGTTTTTTTTTCCTTTTCGTTGCAGAAGGACGTATCCTAGAACTACACTCGCCCGATGGTGTTCACGAATGTTGGTTGAGAGCCGCTGACAACACGGAGGCAAATGTCTGGTTTAACGCTTTGCACTCGGCGTTGGCAGCCCTCACCTTGAAAGCATTACGACTGGCCTCAGCACTTCCGGATCCGCAGCAGCTTCAGCACATAGGCTGGCTGGCGAGGAGGCACTGTCTTCAGGTAAGAGAAGTTATCGAACATTCACCTAAAGAAGAAGTATGCCCCTAACATGGGACAACTTCCTAACATACTATCACAACAATTTATCCCAAAATATTTGATAGTTATATAACGTTACTCAAATTTAATAGAACAATCTTGTTTTTGATATTAATAAATTTACTCTACGCATGATTTTTTTGTCGAAGTATAACAAATAAAATAATTTGTTATACTTAGACAAAAAAATACATGCGTAGAGTAAATTTATTAATATCAAAACAAGATTGTTCTATTAAATACCAGTTTATAAAATGATAGGTTTTAATCAATAATTTTGATAAAGTATTATTATTTATACAAGATGAAGCTTAAATAAATTAAATTTTTAATAGTTGTTGTTTTACCTTAATATTCTATAATTTTTATAATTTACATTTACATTTTTATATTTTTACATTTTATCTCGATATCTTTATTTTCATAGATGAAAATACTTGCTGAAAAAGAAAAAGATTATTTCGATTTCCTATCTTACGCTTTACGGAACTGATTTTTGTCTCTTGCATTTCGACCGGCATAAGCTACCGGCGTATAAATTGAGAGCAGTCTTCCTTTTAACAATTGAACAAAGGGTTAACAATCTCTGATAAGAAGCATCCGTATGAACGCGATTTCTCGAAAATATCGATTATTTTCCATGTAGAGACGCTCTCTACATGTCAACTTTTATTAACTCTAATATAGATATGTTAATCTCATAAAAAGTCGGGGATTTGACAGTTATTAAATTGGATCTGCATTCGATGTATATGAAAGAGACTGCGATGTATATGATTGAAACTGATTTCGTGTATTTATAGTACGCCAGTTCGCACATATGAGATTTTTTATATATATATATATATATATTCAACGTCAACGGGTTATAGGGAAAAGCAGCTCGAACCTAACCTTCGCCAATTGACCTTCCTTCGTCGCGCGCGCGCGCGCCATATTGCCTGATTACTGTCGCAACCGCTCAAATACGTACCGGTCGGTTCAGAGAGACGTGGGCCAGTATTTAAGCAACCCGTGGGACGATTTCAGAGGAGGGCGACTGGCAATCAGGCGCGCTAATGCCAATCAATTATGTGCTGGTAGCTGCGTGCCCTACGGCCCTCCTGCGGCGTCCTTGATGCCGCCGATGCTCTCGCAGGGCGGTCCTTTATCAACAAGGCAACATCCGGTGGCGGGCGGGCTTCGCGTATTAGTTATCGATTCCCGCCGGTTACACGATCGGTAGATCGATAGCACCCGCCGTCCCACGTCGATGCTTCGGCCGGTCTCACCGCTGCACGTTTACCTGCTGCGATCTCTCTGCAAGTGACACGTCTGCGGAGTTGGATGGGCTAGGCTAGGCGGAGATGGAAAGATCAACTGTCGCACCTCGGATATCCCTAGTGGCGATATTTAATTGGAAACTGTGGATAGAACGGATTACCGCCCGATAGGGTTCGTGGTTTTGGCAATAAATAGTCGGTGATGAATAGAAATCCAAATTTAAATCGCGACCAGTCATCTAGTCAACCAGATGTTCGACGTTAAACGTGATTGACTCATTTTAAATGTAAATATGTGGATTAATTGTAGCGTCTCGGATGTCTCTTTTTTATAGCAATATTTAATTGAAAATATTTACGTTGAAAATACTTTACTGATTACCGTTGATTTTTTTCCGTTTCGTGATGGAATTAAATTTCGTTGATAATACATAAATAAGGCTCTTTAAATGGAATCTGGTATTAATCTAATCATTAATGTTGCACATTGATGATTTAACATTTTATTGCGTTTTATTACATCGATAATGAAAGTTATTTGCTTCGGGTAAAATAAATTCGCATTCGGTGAAATTCGGTAAAAAAGACTAGGGCAATAAATTAGGACTTAATTATGACATATACCCGAACTTTTTTTTGAACATTGTTTTCATTGATAATCTGTGTAAAAGAATGATACTGAAGCAATCAGTTTTCAATAAAAAAAAGTTAAAAATGTGTTGAGATATATTGTTAAAAAAAGATTGATTTAAATTCTTCTGTTTTCCTTTTGAAAAATATTTATTGCTTCTGATTGGCATTTTATTTGCATTTATGCAAAATTCTTATATATATCAACCTCATATATCAAGCATGTTTTATATCGCGACCGTTTCGTATAAGATAAATATTGTTTCTGTTTGTCTCTCTGATATATTTACATTCACATAAATCTCGTGCTATCGTTTGAAGCTGATCGCAAAACGAAATACTCGCTCGCTCGCTTGATCGGCGCGAATAGCGCGGCGTATTCATTTAGCGCGCCACCATGCGATCACCATGCGCTCGGGCGCGGGTAATTTATCGATCGTTGGTGATCGACGAGCCGCGGTGATCGACGCGTGTATATTTAATTAACGATCCGTTTGGGATATTTAAGAGTCGCTGTTAGTAATCCAAAGCAAAGCGAAGCAACGTTTATGGATTTTCATCGAGCATCACATGGCAGCATGATCAACTAGCCGAACGAGAGATGTGTACCATTATTTAGAAGCATGGCCGTTCGCGCCGAGCACCTCGTAAAACCGGATATTCGCGTTTTATGAACAGCATCAAGCCAGCTAAAACGAACCGAACGACGGTAAATGCGTCGATCACGCACAGCGTTTTCATAACTGAAACAAAAACGCTGTGAAAAATACTCAAAACCGCCGTGAAAAACACCTACGCCTCGTGTAGTTTTACTGTGTGTTCATGCTGTGTATTCTGTGCCTGTACTACATTCTGTCATCCTATTTAATGTCGTCCGCAGTGTGCCGTTACGTCCGCTTAAATCGTCGATTTATTTTATTTACTGTTGGATGTAATCGATTTCCGGCCAGTTCCACCGTCGACGGTTTCGATTCTCGGCCATGTTAGCCGATTATAATAGTTATCCCTACCTGTTGGACTGCACAATCGCTAAAATGTACACGCACGCCTATTATATTCAAACATTTTAATCTTTTTTTCATTCGGAGATGATATATTAGTATTAACTTAATAATTTGGAAAGGCAACATTGAAAATTTCCGCAAACTGATAGGTAGAACAATAAAATTGTTTCTCCATTATTTTTTCGAATTTTATCTCTGTCCAAGTTTTAAATAAAATTAATTGCTATAGTACAGCATCATTTTAAGTACTTTAAATATCTGCTATTTGAAAAAACGATTTCTATTAGATTCTCTATTATATTAACACACTTACATATTTATATACGCGCATTGTTATTGTCTTTATAGATATTGATCGCTCGGGTTGATCGCATACATCCCGATATCGAAACGAGAGAAGATTCCATATCTTCCATTCTGTTCTACGTTTTACGATTTGAGAAACATTGGAATCGATTGTTTGGCGATTGGCGCGCCCGTGTAAGTGCAATGTCGCAAGCAGCCTCTTTGTCCGAAGGAAACAAAATGCGACGTTTTGCCCAGGTCGGCGATTTGTAGAAGAAGCGTGACGCAAATACGAGTCACGGCGGCTAAGGGTAGAGGGTAAGGGCAATCCGATAAATCCAACAAGCTCACATATTGAATCGGCGACGCCGCTAGAAGTAACGCCCAGGAAGTCCGAGCCATAGGTGAATGGCGGAATGCCGTCTTCTCTAATCTCATATATACGACCGCAATAAAGTGTCAATCTCGCAAGAGAGATACATTCGGCTCTCGATCGACATGGATCGTGCGTTTCTCCGAATCGTGATTCATAGCGTGGGAACGGTGGGACGTCGAGACGGACGAAGGAGATAAGGTGAAATTGAAATTGCAACACAAAGATATCGGACACTTACGGCACACTTTTCAACGTGGATCAAGCTTATAAGCCGAATTCTAATTCAACGTTGATTTTAACCTTAATTAACTCCCAGTCTTTTGTCTTTACAAATTATCATTTCGCAATAATCACCAAGCAGGAAGAATTTATTTCAAGATGATGTTTTAAATATAGTATTTGTAATGAAAGGACATCGATGTCAAATTATTTATATTTGAAATCACGAATAATTATTCAAAAGGCAGCTTAATTTAATTTAAACGAAGAATAAAATCTTCATTAAACGGTATAATTGGTTTGTCATTTGTAACTTCCGGCTTCCTTTTTACAATTTAACAATCGTCCTCGCAAAAAAAAAAGTAGATTGGAGGGGAACAAATAACGGGAATACATCGAGCGCAAAAAGCGTTAAAATTCCACATCAAAGTGCGTCGATAGCGTCGATTAATTTTGTCGTGTCGTGTCTGCCCGCTCGCGATAAACGAATTTTCATGGAATTTCGGTGTACGGCACTTTCGGAGGAATAGCGACGAGCCATTATAATTTCCATGAAAATCGAACAGACGCCAGGAACGATCGCTTTATTTCAACCCCACCCGGATATAAATTCGTTCCCAATCATGCTGCAATTTCTGTTTACTCAGTTCTTACGCCATCCTGTGTTCGGCGCATTGACAGAAGCATATTTAACTGTCGCATTTTTATCGAAATTAAACGGCTTTCAATTCAAGTCGAGTACAAACAATGATAACAATGACATTAATTTAGTATAAATATTCATAACGTACACGTTGTACAGAGTTTTATATAATAATTTGGTTACAACCGTGATAATTACTTAAAAAATTATTCGCACGAGAGAGAAGTAAAAAATTGTGGCGGATGATTATATAATTCTTCTGTTATATTTTTTTCCTAGTAATTGTAACTCTTTTCTACATAATTTATTATTATTGTTTCCTGTTGCCGCCTGTTGTTGCTGCCATTATAGATTTTGTTATTATTATGTGAGATCTCTTTCAAGTATGGAACGTGAACGTGATAGCGAGCTTGAAAGCAATTTGTTCGCGCATTCCCAGCGAGTATGTTGGCGTTGGATTAAATCTGAGGCCGAGCGGGCATTAAATTAGCCGTTGAAAATTAACGGTACGCCATTTAAGTATATTTTAATTAATCCGAGTA